TTTCATTTTCTGCTTGCTCCTCCTCTCGTCTTTTCTTCCGTCTCTCTCCTTCCCTTCTGTTACTGTTGGTGTCTCCCTCTCTGCTCAGCCATGTCACCTCAGTATGCGTGAACAGACTCTTGGAAGGTGACGGCTGAGGGAGGTAACTTCACGGTGAGCCAGACCACTGTGTTCGTTTATTAGAAACTTTCAAAGAGTTTCAATTTCCCCGAGCTGAATGCCATATGAATTATTCTCTTGCGATATTCAGCATTCTGGTGCTCCACTGCTGGTGTTCACTTGTATTTAGATTTTGGATTTTACACTACTAACAGCTCTATTTTGCATTAGGATTTGGAATAATTTGGAGTGTGGAACTTTCGTTGCAATTGGCAAGAAAATTAGTGTGGATTTCTTTTTTGCTGTGCAGTGTATTCACTCATTTGGTACCACACTCCCTTCTCTCTTCATTTTCTTTTACTCGCCAATCTGCCCAGTCCCTTTACCCCCCCCTCTCCCACACTCCCACCCCACAACCACTTAATCTACTGCTCTCTCCATCAGCAGAGCCCCCTGTCCCCTTTCTGTCTAATTTCTATCAGGAATTTCACTGGGAGCTGCTTATCCATTCAGCGTCTGCCACCCCTTCGTACCCCTGTACAAATGAACAAGTCAGCCGGCAAACAAACGGACAAATAAATAAAAGAGAAATAATTCACAAGATGTAATTCATCAAAACACAATCAAGAGCGCGGGGAAAAACAAGGAAAGTCAAACACAAAGTCAATTTTTGAAAACTACAAGACAGCAAAAGCTGGATGGAACTGAAAGAATTGGACAAAGGGACGTTCCCCCGGCACATTTGCATGAATTATGGGTCTAAAATTGAGCAAGCAACGATTGTTCGTCTCTATTAGATGGTCTGTCTCTTTCTCTCATCAGCGGGGAGCGACACGCTGAATAATCATCCGTTTCAAGGACAACAGAGCGTTTTTAGCTCGGCTTGGCAACGCTGCAAGACCCACTATGGGCTTGCTCACCCGTGGGTGCTGGCATTAATCTCGGTCACTTCTCACTGCACACAGACCTTCCCGACGCACTCTGAGCCCTCTAGCCTACTGCTTGTACCAGCAACCCCTGCCAGTCCCGCTTCCCAGGGGCTCCTTGCCCTTGCCCCCCAGCCCAGGGTCTCTGCATCCGACTGCAGAGTGCTGTGCACGCCTGGGTGGGTGAGGCCGGCCGGTCGGTGGTAATGGTGGTGAGGCGTTTAATGCTGTTATCACGGCCTTTTAACTTCCCTCTCCCCAAACTCTCTCTCTCTTTCTCTCTGAGCGTGACTTTCAGACAACTTTGAACCACTGTGCGGGGACGGATGCCCTTGATGACAGTGGTGGGGATGCAGAATGAGGATGCTTCCACAGAGGCGTTGGCATTGGTGACTGTTGCCTTGTGTTTTATTAGGCGGCGGTCAAACAAGGCCTGCGGTCAGACGGGGCGTGAGGACAGACAGGTGGTGGTATTATATTAGAGTTCCGGGAGACTGTTATTGTGCATCGTCCTCTCGTCTCGTCTGTCCGTCTGCTGTCCTTCAGGGTGCTTGCGGCTTACTTTCTGTCTGGACATGTTGGCGTGTCTGCATGGTTTTGATTGTGAGCTGCTGGCGCAGGAAGTACAACCTCTGCTGTGCCTTTTTCCGGATGGTGTCGATGTTGGGAGCCCACTTCAGGTCCTGAGAGATTGTGGATCCCAGAAACCTGAAGGTCTCCACAGCAGATACAGTGTTGTTGTGTATGTTGAAGGGGGGCAGTGTTGGGGGGGCTCCTCCTGAAGTCCACTGTCATCTCCACAGTTTTGAGCTTGTTTAGCTCCAGGTTGTTCAGACCACACCAGAGGACCAGCTGTTCAAGCTCCCGCCCGTACGCAGACTCATCACCGTCCCCGATGAGGCCGATGATCGTTGTGTCGTCTGCGAACTTCAGGAGCTTGACCGTTGGGTCCTCTGAGGTGCAGTCGTTGGTGTAGAGGGAGAAGAGCAGTGGGGAGAGCACACATCCCTGGGGGGTGCCAGTGTTGATAGTCCGGGTGCTGGATGTGATTTTTCCCAGCCTCACCTGCTGTGTCCTGTCAGTCAGGAAGTTTGTGATCCACTGACAGGTGGAGGCTGGCACAGTGAGCTGGGAGAGTTTGGGTTGGAGTATCTCCGGGATGATGGTGTTGAACGTGGAGCTGAAGTCCACAAACAGAACCCTTGCATATGACCCTGGGGAGTCGAGGTGTTGCAGCATGTAATGCAGTCCCATGTTGACTGCATCAACCACCGACCTGTTTGCACGGTAGGCAAACTGCAGGGGGTCCAGCAGGGGTCCTGTGATGTTCTTCAGATGGGTCAACACCAGTCTTTCAAAGGATTTCATGACCACAGACGTCAGGGCGACGGGCCTGTAGTCATTTAATTCTGTGATGGAGGATTTCTTGGGGACCGGGATGATCGTGGAGCGTTTGAAGCATGAGGGGACTTCACACAGCTCCAGTGATCGGTTGAAGATCTGTGTGAAGATGGGGGCCAGCTGGTCAGCACAGACTTTCAGGCAGGAGGGTGACACACCGTCCGGGCCTGGTGCCTTCCTGGTCTTCTGTCTGTGAAAGAGCCGACTCACATCCTCTTCGCAGATCCTCAGTGCCGGTGGGGGGTCAGTTGGGAGAGATGAGGAGGAGACAGGGGGTGTAGATGGTTGTTTGATGGGGCAGGTGGGGGGTGTGAGGGTAGGCTTATCAAACCTGCAGTAGAAGGCATTCAGGTCGTCAGCCAGTTGGTGATTGGCCTCAGTGGGGGGGGGGGGGGTGGTCTCCTGTAGTTCGTGAGTACTTGCAGGCCTCTCCAAACTGACGAGGGGTCGTTGGCTGAGAACTTTTCCTCCAGCTTTTCAGTGTACCTCCTTGGCCCGACGAAGCTGCCTGAGTCTTGCAGTAAACCATGGTTTATTGTTGATGAATGTGCAGAAGGTTTTATTCGCCACACACATGTCCTCACAAAAGCTGATGTACAATGTCACAGTGTCAGTGAGCCCATCCAGGTCTGTAGCAGCAGCCTCGAAAACACTCCAGTCAGTGCAGGCAAAGCAGGACTGTAGCTCCAGCTTTGCCTCGTTGGTCCATCTCTTCAGTCTTCACCACAGGCTTTGCAGATTTTAGTTTCTGCCTGTAGGTCGGGAGAAGATGAACCAGACAATGATCAGAGAGTCCCAGAGCTGCACGGGGGAGTGAGCGGTATGCATCCTTTATGACAGTGTAGCAGTGGTCCAGTGTGTTTTTGTCCCTGGTGCTACACTTAATATGCTGTCTGTATTTAGACAGTTCTTTGCTGAGGTTTGCTCTGTTGAAGTCCCCAAGAACAATGAGCAGGGAGTCTGGGTGTTTGTGCTCCATGTTGTTGATCTGCTCAGCCAGGTGTTGGAGAGCCTCACTCACACAGGCGTGTGGTGGGATGGAGACACCGACCAGAATGAATGAGGAAAACTCCCGCGGTGAATAAAAAGGTTTGCAGTCTATGAAAAGTGTTTCTAGGTGAGGGCTGCATGATTCCTTTAACACTGTGACATCAGTACACCAACCTTCATTAATGTAGAAGCAGATTCCGCCTCCCTCGTTTTCCCCGACAGCGCCGTTACGCGGTCCGCTCGGAGGAGTCGGAAGCCCGGCAGATGTAGTGCGCTGTCCGGGATGTGCTCACCGAGCCAGGTTTCAGTGAAGCACAGGGCGGCGGATCTGCTAAAGTCCGTGTTTGCTTTTGTTGAGGAGCAGCAGTTCATCCATCTTGTTAGCCAGAGAGCGGACGTTCGCCAGGTGAATTGACGGGAGCGCAGTTCTGAGTCCCCGTCGGCGCAGATTAACGAGCGCTCCTGCACGCTTCCCTCGTCGGCGTCTCCGATAAATTCCGAGTAGAGCAGCTGCTCCCCCAACTAAAATCTCTGAAAAACTCTCTGGTTCGATGAGATGCGGCAAAAAAAAAAAAAAAAAAAAAAAAAAAACTACATTCCTTTTACAGCAGAAACAGCCCTGAACATATGATAGTGGAAAGTCTTTTTAAGGTATTCCAGCTGATGTACGTTGTTTGCCGAAGTCTTCAGCCATCCAGCTACTTTTCTCTGAATCAAGAGAGTCCTCAGTTTCTTCGAGAGCCTATTTAACCATGAACATGTCATCTTAAGAATGGTGTAATTGTCTAGGTTTGAGAACAGCAATGGTCTGAATAGACATCAGTCTTACAGCAATTTGAAAGGAATTACAAGGGAAACAATGAGAATATAAACGCATCCATTCTGTATATAGAAAACTAGTTCTGGCCTTTGTATGATATGAAAGCATTATACCTTTGCTGTTCTGATAAAGGAGAGGGGAGATGAGGCAGGAAGATAAAGAGAGGTAAGCAGGGAAACATGTCAGATGGAATGTTATTGACTATGTTGGAACAATTATGGAGCCACGGCCAACATCATTATCGTACAAATATGTGCATCCATCAAGCCTGAGCTTTGCCTAATCACGTTAATAGACCTCTCTAACGGCAGCCATTTTGACTGTAACAAATGGCATTAATGAAGGCTGCATTCCACGTGGTTGTTCCAGCTCGTATGTCATTTTTACAGCAGCCATTTTTAGTGCAAATGCAGGTATAACGGTATAATGGCTGTGGTGAAAAGAGCAGATGTCATTTTAAAAGTGTCGTCCAGCATTGTCTTAAGCTGGCTGCAATCACCAGTTCCGAAAATGTGCAGACAATGCGGGAGTGTCTTAAACTTGCATTCTCTCTACTGGTCACGGTGACTGCGTCCACTTCTTATACATTCTATGGAAAAGAGCCTATTATGTGTGCTGTGCCATCATCAACGTTTTTAGTTGCACCAGTATCCCAACTGAATTGATGGAGCTCCTTTTATGTCCTTGTTTGTATCCTCAACATGTACGTTTTGTGTGTTTCCTTTCAAGGAGAAATGCTCTAAAAACATCATTTTCTTCCTCAGAGATCGGTGGCATATCATGGGAAAAGCTCTTTTCGACGGTAACATGCTCGGATGTGATGGGAAAGTCATGTTGGCCGTGAGCGCTTAGAGTCAGCGGGGAGACAGAGGCTCCAGTGTAACGAGAGAGAGGCCTTACTGTGCTGTGACTCAGATGAACACAGCAGTTGTTGGGGAAAAGGTCAGTGGATTCTGTTGGTATTCCGCAGCCGTGTGCTTTTTGGCAGGACACTTGACGGCGCAGCGGGCACTCGAGCTTGAAATGATGTTGCTTCCTCCGGCCAGGAGGCGATGGCTCCCATGCCACACAGCATACGCAGGGCGCTATAAATCCTACAGTGTAAATAAAGACCCGCCTCGCTCCACCACGTCTCACTCCTTCTGTGTCCGTATTTCTTTTTGTAAACGCTGCCCTGTCTCTTTCCATTTTCACTCTCATTCCCTCTCATTTTCTTTCCTGTTTTTACCCCTCGCTATCTCTTTACGGTTTCCCTTTTCCTCCAGTGATGTGGTGGTAAACACAAAGGCGGCTGGTCACTGACTTTCATTGTGTGATCCTTTTTAGAGCTGCACAACCACCAGCATCAATTCCAATAGACTTTCTGCCCATTCGATCATCTTTTGTTCTTGCTTTTTGTCCGACTCATTTACTCTCCTCGGCTTCTCTGTGAAGGCTTTTTTCTCTCTCAACTATTATGTAAAACATTATCTTCATTTCCAACTGACTTTGTAGCACCACAATGCAGTTTGAAGCAGGCTGTTATGTAAAGGAAAGAGGAGGTAAATCTCATTTAGTCACAGTTTGACTTTATTAACTGCACAGCAGGCGGTGACAGAGGTTTATCCTTTCACAGATGTTTTGAATGCTGCTTGCGGTGTTGGACCACTACCCCCCCCTTCCCCCCGTGATCATCTCACACACTCACACACACTCAATCAAATATCCAGTCCCTAATTACAGCCTTGCAACTCACCGCCAGGCCTATACAGCATTCAGGCCCAGCAGGTATTTCACTGCCATTTTAGAATTACATTACTGCGGATGATACTTGTATGTATACGTGCTGTATGTCACAAAAAACGAACAAAACGGCTTTACAGTGATACAGGTCTCATACTTCTCAGACATTGAATTGAATCAAGCTACGAAAACAACACTTTCGTCTATGAGTTGTGTTAGAGGCAGTCATAATGTAGCACTACTCCTTTCCCACCAAAATGAGTGTATATATGCAGCTTTTGTAAACGCTGGAAAACACGATAAAAATAGACATTAGACGTTAGTGTCTCTTTACCAGAGACTCACCGTCTCTGGTTTTTGTACAGTGGAAAGACGAACAAAGACGGTTGTGATGAGTTTTAATTTGTTTCTGTCGAGTTTGAAAGAAGTGTATTTAACGACAAACAGCTAGGTTAAATCACTGCTGTCTGACTGGAGTCTGAAGGCTTTGAGGATAATAGCATATCAATTGAATTTTCTAGATGCAAATTAATTGTAACAATTTTCCAAATCCATGATGATCTTATTTATTATATATTCACTTCAGCGCATGTCACATAGCATTGTTCCAGCTAATGGGCAAAAATGAGTGTGTCCAACATGTTTCTATCCTGGGAATGAATGCTGATTGTAACGTTCCCCGCTTCAGACAAAAGCCAGATGTTAGTGGGTGTAAGTGTGTGTTTTTATTTTTTTGTCCAGCGGGAAGGGTGCTTAATTAATGGCTGGTGGCAACAATTAGTGTCAATGAAGGAAGCAGCATAACAATATTTTTCTGAAGTGCAAAGTTAAAGGTGTGTTTTCCCTCGGCACAGGCTAGTGTATGCCATCTCATCAGTGAGGCACAGAATACATATGTATTTATAAAAGAAAAACAAGGTAAATATCTTCACCTGAATGACAAACATTGAATGACAAACAGTGGCTGGCATGAAGCAGCCATTTGTTTGTTTTTCAGGCACTTCCATTTTACAAGGCGCCAAGTCAGATATTGAAGAGCCCAGTGATGGTATTGTTTGGGAATCCTTTTCTGTGGTCGAGTCAAACATGGTGTAACTTCTTTTGAACAGCTGCTGTACAAATAATTTGTGACACAGAATCTAATCTCTATACACAGCTTCTGCATGCATATGTACGGCTAATACTAAACAATCGTATTGGAGTAGGCTTTGGTTGAATGGTAAATAGGTAAACGGTCCAAGTGGAGGGCAAAAGAGGTAGAAATCAATGGCCAAAATGCATTCTCAGGAACCACCGGCTATCGTCTGACAATGATTTCGCTTTTTAGTGGTTTATTAAAATCATCTTGTAAACTGACTACTTGTGAAACAATCCGGTCTTACATGGAAAAGGAAGTCTTTGCCGGGAAAACTGCTTTCTACACCAGATCCCCGAAATTAAAGACCCTCGACTCGGGAAGCTTATCCGTCGTCGGACCGATAGCCGATGGAGTTTGAGATTGCACGAAATCAGTCAGTTATGTTATAAAGCCATAGTCTTCAGGTCCAGTAAATCTGTTTTGTACATTTTTCTGTGACTACACTAAACTTCAGCCAACGAGCCAACTAACTTGACTTTAGATGCTCTTACAACAAAAATGAAAGTGAAAATCCCCGGTATGGTTACACTGCTCGATTCCAGGGTTAAGCATGCAATTTGGTTTTCTGCATTGTGTTGTATTCTCAAAGTAACCTCAACCAGCTCAGACCACATGTTTGAGGATTAGTTCTGCAGTTTCTTCAGACTCTGCCCTTGGCCTGTTTGCAGTTTGGCGGGGGAGTGGCTGAGGCAAAGTAGTTGGTCTTCTTCCAAAGGGGAGGAATTAGCATTTTCTGCAAAGATTATTAATCAAGGTTTTTGTTCCAAGTTCCTGTCTCTTAATAAAATCATTTCCATATCTTAACATTTAGGTAACCTTGAGGATGGTTTTGACAGCAAAATGGAACCTTGCGGCGTTCGGATCATTGAGAAGGCTCATTACCTGAAGTATACATCAGTCAGCATTTATATTTGTTTTTTCAACTTCGCAGTGCAGTTAATTATTTTGTGGTGTCAAGTACTTTTGTCAGAGAAGCTGTCACTTTCTCTTCAAACAGTAGAGATCTACTGTTTGAATCAACTCTGAATGTCATTCAGGAGTTCGCTCACTGTGCTGGATCCTCTTGGGAATGGCATGTTCCGGAAATATGAAGTCAGAATATTTCACTGGGGGAATGCTTTTCTTCCAAACACCTCACCTGCACATATGAGTACATTTCAGTATACAGTATATTGCTGTTTAGGAGGTCAAAAGACGAACCTTGATTTTTGGCCAGATGAACCCTTTGACCCTGCAGTGGACATCCTTTACCTTTTTGAAAAGAAAAACAAATCCTATCTTGTTCAAAGTGGATTGAAGGTGAAGTGCATTTATAATGGCATCCAGAGGGAAGCTGCCATGCACAAACTAATATTTCTTTCTCAGGTTCTTGCAGTTCAGCCTAATTGTATTGTTTTCCGGCTGAAAAATGCAGAATAGCACCAACAAGAACGGTGATAAATTACAAAAAAATGAATTAGATTAAACAGACCGTGAAGGAGCAACCATTTAATAGAATCACTCCCCTGTTATAAGCTGTGCACATTTTGCAATCCTCCATTGTGAAATCATCTTCTCCACTGATCTATTAATGCCAGTAAGTAATAATCTATGGAAGGGTTGCACCAATGCTTACACCAGTGTCTGCAATAGGTCCGAAAATGTGCTCATGTGCTCGTAATGGTAAAACTACTCCGATACAACTGATACTACTGCGTGCATGGTCGTGGTCACATGCAGCCAAGCTCCCAGTGAGTCTCCACCGCGTCAATGAGTTTGGCTGTGAAGGTTATCAGCTGTGTCTGTCTTGCATACTTTTTAGAAACATTATTGTAGATCATTATATTGTTGTGTTATGAGGGTGGCAGAAGATTATATCTATTATTCAACAGGACTGCATTAAAAAATGTGATTTTACTCATCAGTGAGTCGCAACCTTAATAGCCTTCCATTATGTGGATAACATTCGTCCATTAACTCTACTTGTGAAAGCGCTGTTGAGAGCCGTTAATGCCAACCTGAAGTCTTTGGACCACTCGCGACTGTTACTCACTCCTGCAGCCACGTTGCAAGGTTACTTTGGTTATTTAACATGCAGGAACTATATGAGGCGTGTTCATATCTGAACAGAGCTTAAAGGTTCACTTTGGAAAAAGAAAGGGTAATGAATAAATTAGACTCTTTAATGTTCATGCATTTTGAATTCAGGCTAGTGAAGTACTGTATGTTTTTTGACATCTCGGCTCCTTCACCAGACAAAGAACACATTTTGATTGTTTGGATCGTGAATATTAATAAACCTTCAGTGGGTAAAAAAAAAAAAAGGCCTCATCATAACTAGAGAGCTTCCTTTTAGTCAGTTTTTTTTTCCCTCATAAGCAAACTGTTGCCATCTGTTCTGTGTTTTTTTTTTTTCTTTGTTTTGTTTCCATCTTGCGGCACCTTGACGCTTCAATTTCATCCTGGCACTCAGCATGTCAGACGTCCTTCAAAGTCAACCTGTAACTTTAAATTGTCTCGTGTTCTGAGACGCCTCTTGTTCTTTGAGTGTTTCCGACGATTTGTTGTCAGCGAAGGTGGAGGATGATGAGCTGAATGTTTGCTGTCAAGGGAGAGTCGAACTCCCTTTGGAGGAAACGGACGTTTAACTTTGAGAAGCTGGATGTACACTGATTGAGATATAGTATTCATTTGAAAGATTCCTCTTTGAGAGTACAGGTGTCTCTCGCGTCTTTAACTTACAAATGTGCACTCTCATTATAGAGGCAATTACCAACACTAACAGAATGAATAGAACAGCAAAATGTGAAACGTGGTGAATTGAATGTGACAAGACTGAATAAATTGCACCACTTAGCAGCCATTTTAACTTTCCGATGTACGCAAGTCACTGACTATTAGATTGCTCTGCAATACAGTACAGCAGACAAGCTATTATGTTCAGGTTTGACATCCCATCTTCCATTCCAGCAACTTCATGCACCCATCCGGACAGAGGGGTGGAGAGTTTTCACGCAGCAGTGGCTGGTTGGATGAAAGTGTGTGTTCATCTCTGTTATTTACCGGACAAGGAGGGAGGTGTTTGTTTTCAAATGAAAGAGTG